GAAATAATGAGAAGAGTTGTGGTCTTGCGTGGGCTCTTCTCATGGTCAATTCATTATAAAAAGGATGGAATTTCCCCCTTCCAAGAGCTAAGTTAAGCTCAGTATTGTCCAAGAGTTCAGAATCGTACAATAGTTCAGAACTGCCCATAATAATATAATTGTACTGCCCCTACAAAATATTAATAAAGTTAATAAAGCCCTTTTAACTTGTAAAATAAATAAATGCTCCTTTAAAATCGTAATACTCATCTTGTAATGCTTCTTAAACGATTGCCTTGACCTTGTGCCAAATCGTAAATCCGCCTCTATAATCCTTGAGGAACATTATGCGGCATAATCATTTCTCTAGCAACAATCCATCGCATTCGCCCCATCTCTGAACTCGACCATATAACCCGTCACAATACTCGTTGTAGTTCTGACTTCTATATCTTTTGTATATTTCAAATTCAAATAATTAAGAAATTCGTGTAGATGCTAAAAGAACTACGAATTGGGTTAAAATAAAAACATTAAGGTTGATTATGCGTTTTCAATTATATTTAGTTGACTATAGTGTAAAATATTAATATTTAAAAAATTTTCTTTTTTTGATTAGTAAAAATTTCAATGCTAACCGACAGATTTTCACTGATCGCCGATTTTTTAAAGTCATAAAACTGTACATTAGGGCCAGGTTTATAATTATAACGATACTTGTCTTATACAAAAATTTTACAAGGAATTTTTTTACTAACGCGCAGAATGTGGTTACATATACAAAATGGTAGTTTTTGTTTGATAAAATAAGTGATAACTAGTAAGTATGAAGTCATAGAGATTGGTATTTAAACGAAAAAGAATGGAAATTGGTTCTCTCTCTTTTGCCTTTGCTGCTAGCTCGACGATAATCTAGCTTTGTCGTTTGTACCTTCCCACACACTGCTAATCTTTGAGAAAGAAGGTATTTTAAAGGAAGGAAAAGAAATAGACATCGAGTCTCATAGACAGAAATTCTTTTGATTGGCTGATGTAAATCAATTGCCCGGGTAATAAAAGAATGGTATATTTCACTAACAAAAATTCACATTGATAGGAGGCAAAATATGCCTATCGTTTATTGGACTTATCAAACTATACTGTGAAATCAGGTAACTGGAAGCGTTTTGTTCAAGATTACCTTATTATGTTAGATTAAAATAAACGTTCATTACTAACTATTAGATGGCTTGAATTATAATCAAAGAAGGTTCGAATTTAATACTTGTGTATATTCGGTTCTTGCAATATGTTTGGGTTTGTCAATCATAATAAGTTTCGGTTATTGATTGTATATTGTATTAATAGATCTTGAGTTTATTAATAACAAATATCGCTCTTACTCTATTCTACATGTATCTATCTTTTCTTTACGTGTATGAAATTATTAATTCTTTTATACTTTTAATTTATAAGCTTTTTATATGATATCTGATATGTATATAGTATTCAATGTAATTTGATTGGTTAATTATCACGAGTGCTCACGGGTATATCAATAAAAATTATCCAATTAGACTATGAGCTATGAAGTATAACAATAAAGTACTCAGTATGGAGACACTAAATTAGTTTAATGGTTATTCGAGTTGTCCATGTATGAAGACACGATTACTCTTTAGAGGATTGTTAGCTTAATATAACAATACCCAATCTTTACATTTTTAACCCCAAAATTGCTTGCTGTTCTCAAATTTGATCGGCCGAATTCGATAAGGATTTTCGGCATTACAATAAAAACCTATCAAATTTGGCCGTTGTCCCAGAATTTATGAGAACGGCTGTAAAGGATCCTCCAAAAGTGAGCGAGGATAGAAAGACAGTGTGCTAAAAAGAATACATTTTCCGAAGACTCGCGAACAAACCGATTTAATCTTATGATGCCATGTACCCTTAGATTATACTTTGCCGAGAAAATGCAAATTTACCTGCGAAACGGTGTAAGCAAAAGTTTTTTTATTACGTAATTAAAAACAGGTGATGATTATGAATTTAAATCCAGATTTAACTATTCGGGCTTTAATCATCATCTGTTTTAAGTCGGTAAAAAGAATGGCTAAAAGCTATTTTTTTACTATTTCTACAACATAGTTTCGACAAATATTAATAAAGCCTTGGTTGTTTGGATCGCTGATATATCGCTATATATTATTGTAAAAATATATACTAAGCATGTCTCAAATCAAAAGTTTATCAAATAATCGTAATGCCGTAATTGGTCGTATTTGTTTTTACAAAAACTCAATTATATCATGACCCAGTAATTTAAATCGGATAATTTTGAGACCGTTCGATTCGTCCCGATGAGACTAATCGAATGGTATCAAAATAATCTAATTTAAATCACTAAATCATAAGATATCCGCAAAAAACGATCCAATGAATTATGCGAATATCTTGTGAATTCGTCTCATCGAGACGAATCGAACGGTATCAAATTCATCCGATTTGGATCACTAAGTCACGATATAATCGAATTTTTGTAAAAACAAATACGATAAATGTAACTCAATTTTATATGTGGAAACTTCTTTTTTAGGCTGATTAGACAGAAAATTTTCTTCTTCGGTGAGTTATTTTGAATATCAACTTCATGAGATGTAATAATTTTATTTCGCTCTTGTAGAAAGCTGACATGTAAAAAAAATTGATTGATGTTATACTTTAATTCAGATAATGGAAATATGAATTATCGTTATTTAGAATAGTATAAATAATAATTTCTTATTACATAATTGATTAATATACTACATATCTTTCTACGTATCTAATAATTACATATATATTGGTTGTAATTGATTTTAATTAAATTCAAATACTGTTATAGGGATAGTTATCAATTTTAATTTATCGATACGGTAACCGTGACTTGCTATGTGTCGTACGGTTTATTGGGACAGTATATCCCAATAAGTAATAATGGAACTTCCTTTATTAGCATAAAAGACTCTAAGCATAACAAACTTGGACTAGATGATTCACTACACTTATCGGTGGCGCAGATCAAAAATCAGCATAAGAAACCACCTTTTGTGCTCTAACAAAAAGTTTTGTTGACCAATTTTTACTACATAAACTATTTTCCTCTAGATTCTAACGTTGACCAAAACTAACGAATTTTAAGAACTTAGTCTTCGCCGCAAACCTTGTACGCATTTACGATATGACACAAAATTTGCGGATGATGTAATTTCTTTTTCAACCAAAGGTTCATATGTGACAAACATGATATCAACAGTAATACACCGACAAAAACAGCACTAGTAACGATATAATACTTGGCAAAAAATTAAGAGCAACTAATTTTTATTGATTTACATTGCACGTAATAATTCTTTTAATTTATTTTAAAAAAATTTTTATTATTTACTTTTAACGTTAATTTTAATATGTATTAAATTTATTACTTTATAACTTAATTAACAAATAGTTTTTTTAATTCATTTTTAAAAATTTACATTTAAAAAATTTTATTAACTTTATTAATTTTATTAACTTTATTACAATTATAAATACATATTTTTATTAAATTTATATAAAAAAAAAACTAAAACTAAACTAAATATTGAGATACTTTGTTTCAGAGAATATATCTCCTACTTATCCCAACCACCACGAAAAGGTGTATCTCATTGGTTGGGAAGGTGAACCCCAACCAATCTCTCACTCCACCGGTACTAGTCGTGGCTCGGTTCCCGGTGGCGTGAGTAGGTTGTTCCCCTTGAATCATTAATACTTTCGTATTTCATCAAGGTAGCTTTAACTCAATTTATACTCTAGAGTTCGAGTATACCTTTTAAATATCCACATCCAAGTATTCCATCCGAGTATTCATGTTCGTGTTTAAGTATTTCCATCCAAGTATTCATATTCGTGTTCATATTTCTGTTCGACGGCAAACTGTATATTAAATAAAGTGTTAAATGTATTAAATATATTATGTGTTATATGTATGTAATTTAGAAATTTAAAAGGGAAGCAATGGAAATAATGAAGTAGCAAGAGGAAAAAAAGACATCCTTATATAGCTTTGTGATGTTTTTTTTTTTTGACGCGTAAAAATTGAATTAACGCGTAATACATGTAATTTTTTCACACGAAAAAAATTTTGTGATTCCGTTGTCGATTTCCTTAATTGAATATTAAGCAGTCGAATACGTTATCATTATGTAATTTATATTCGCATTACTATTGTTCTCTGCGAGCAAAACTCGTTTAGGTCCGGATTTGAATTTGGATTCTGAACCACATGAATTACATATGTACACACGTACGCATGTGTGCAATTATTATCGATATACCTCCTTTTTTTTGCAATGTATTCTTTTGGGAGGCAAACTCACAAAGAAATATTGTGCCATTTACTACAGTCAGGAATTTTTCACTGCAATTGGAAATTTTATTGGGCAAAATTTGTGCCAATTAATGTCTATGTATTTATTTGGGCAGAAGATTCTTAGATTATATGTTCATAAAATAAACATTTGCAAAAAACGATTTTAGAATACGTAGTCTTTTAATTTATTGCAGATCATTTCTATATCGCGTAAAATCCCTGACTTCGGTGACAAATTTATCCAAACAAAGTAATATACATCTTTCATCGGAGTTAATGTTACGGCAAAATTACCGGATTCGGCGTTTGAAGTCATGTCTCTACGCTACAGAATACACGTGAGGCCTTCGATGTTTTATCTATTATGAAGAGCCTAGCATGAATAAAATAAAATACTGTATTCACTCGTTTAATTAATAACGTAGATTATTTTAAAGACCAAAAAAAAGACGATAAACAGTCATCAATAACATGCTATACGATAATATATTTTACATTGTGGAAAAAATTTTAATTGAAACCCTATACAATAACTATATATTATTACCTACGATGCTATGGAACGTCTGTAAACCACGTGAGCGGAAGGACGAGATATTTGATAGTTGTGTAATGGTTATGTTCCATAATCGAGTGACAAATAATCATGGCCTTCTTTAAAAAACCATCGAAATACTGGGCCTTTGACGCGATTGCAGTACACTATTACGACAACGACGTTTCCCGCATTTTCGATCGTATCAAGAAAGATCTTGAGCAACGTGCAAAAATGGAAGATTGTGATGCTCAAAAGGCAAAAGAACTTTTGGATTCAGATTGGAAGGCACGTATTTGAGGATGGAGAGACGCGTCATGAGGCCTAAACGTGTTACTGCTTGTCGCACGTTAAGACTGCTTGTCGGTACATACGCGTCATGGCACCTAACTGTATTACTGCTTGTCATACAGTATGACTGCTTGTCGGTGCATTAATTGGGTCATGCAGTCACGCAATGAAGACACCTTAAGGACTGTTGAGATTGTGCTAATTAATAATATCAAACTTTTTCTTCACAAGAAATTAGTTACAGCCGTGAAGACACACGTCGCTGTTCACCAAATTAGGGTAAGATTAAGGATTTTCCAGTTACAAATCTCCCAACTGGTATTCATTTCTACAATTTTACAATATACAAGAGCGAGGCTACTGTTTCCACCTTTGCTGATGGGGCAGAATCAATGACAAAAGTTTGTAAAGCGATTCTTGGTGATGTCGATGCCATTGTGTCAGGATCTGTTACTGTTTCTAAGGATTATGAAAAGGTAGAGCTTTAAGAAATGTTTAGTTATGCAAAAGAGATTTTTCTGGTTATGATATATTGTTTTTTACGGCATCCTCAGAATGGAGAGGTCTCTATGAGTGATAGTGCACCTGTTTATAATAACGAAACTGGCTTTTCTGATTATGAAGAAAAGGATACCAACTTAGTTCGTAAATGGAGTAATGATGGAGAAGCTACACCGACTAAACGAGTGAGATTATAAGACTTGCAAATTTTTTCTGGGATTAAATAATTTATTAGCAATATTTATGCAACCTTTCAGACGAAACTAAATGATGATCTATCAATAAATTCAGATTTTACTTTGGGATCAATTGAGGTTAGACACGAAATAAATTTTTTTCAATAATTTTTGACAAAAAATTAATACGATTTTTTAGAGTACAAATTATGATATTGGTCTTTGGAATTATGAAGAAGGTACAGAAGTCGATCCTGATCTATCTTTTCAAGAAACTGATGAATATTTAACAATACCAATGTCTGAGCGACTCTTTAACGAAGATACCTGGGGTCAATGGAGGCTCAGTTCCGGAAATATTATTACTGATCTTTTGACAAAATCTGCGAAAAAAAACGGACATCCTCTCAGGTAATCGTAGATAATTATAATTATTAATATATGCTAAGCTAATTAATTTTTTTTAGACCTGAAGTATGGGGAATCGTTCGTTGTGGTTTTAAAATCGCAAAACCGGGATGGTGTAGCACTGATGATTATTCGGAAATTCAAAGGTTCACAAGGCGAGCAACTATTCTTAGTTGTCCACATATTATATCTAAACTTTTGAAATTTGTATGTCTTTTCTTTTACGTCAATTATTTGTTCTTTATTCTTGAAGAGTTCTAAAGTTACTCATTTCAATAGAAATCACTTGAATCCTTAGGAAAAAGCATAGAGGAAATTCGGTTTTTAAATAATTTTAATGAAATTATTAAGGAAGATGCTAGAAAGCTTATCTTAGAAGAGCTTAAAACAACCGACATAATGTTTCCTCTTCAAGATCCTTCTGAAAAATTTTTTATTAAAATCTTGTCAATATTATAAGTATAATTCGTTATAACTGATTTCAGTTCGCTATCTAATAAATTTTTTTCTTTGCATAAAGTCAAGCGGACATCTTTCCAGATAATTCAATAATTCAACAACCAAATGTATCGGAATCGGATTATGGAGGTTACATGATTCATCCTTTTCTGAAATGTACGCTTTTTGGCCTGGAAAAAAATTTACATTATCACATGTAAGTAAATAGTCCTTGGTCTTTATTTACAATGATTTTGTTAACAATCATTTACGCTTGGTAATTTTACTTAAGAGGAGAGATAATCTTGTCATCAGTTAAATCATGTCGCGAAAGACGCAGGTGTAATACCTTGTTTGAACAAAAAGCAGATGGTGTATTTCTTGTGCGGTTGAAAAAAACTTTCATTGAAGTTGGACATCTAGAAATGAGCGGTGGATATGGGTACAAAGATTTCTCACGGTCAACGTGGGATGGTTGTTGCAAGTTGCCGATTGGCAATGCATATATGCTAGAAGAGGTTGGGGAGCGATTTCGAGGAGCTTCATGTGAAACATTTTCAAAAATAAGTGTTTTTTCTCTGCACACATATGGTAGGTGTTTAATAAGATTTTTTCTTAATAATTTTGTTTACTTACTTTTTGCATTTATAAAGAATCGGATTGAACTGTGGAGAATGTATGTTCCATCCTGTGGTATTTTACAATACGAACGAACTCATAGGGCAATAGTTACAATTTGCTTCGAAGAAGATCGAAAACGTATTTTTGATTTTGTTGTTGTCTTATGGGATCTTAGGGTAAGTTCATTTTGACAAATTTAATGTTTTATTATATTTTATCATCAACTTATTTTCTTAATTCATTAGTGCTGGTTACTGGAAGTATCTGAACTTATTTATAAATTACTTGAAGAACATAACGATTCGGACGTAAATGTGTCCAATCTTTCTTCTGGTATTCTTCCACCACATCCATTTAACCCACAAAAAGATAAACACAAAAAAGGTATCATAACTACTTATGCAAAAAGTGAACCAGGCAGCTCTTTTATTCGATCTGATAAATAAATAAGGTTTTCTCTGATTTTTATGAAAAAGTGTTATCACGATTGACAGCATGAAATAAAAAAAAAAAACCATGGAATTAAATTTATGAACACTGGTTTTATCAATCATACAAACAGTTGATTTGCACTCAAAAATCTGTACCAGATTTTAAAATTCCTTAACATTAGGTTTAGTGCTTAGAATGATGGTTATCGTTATACAGTAAAATCATTCAAGGAATTTCCTGATCGTGTTACGTTACACCTGATTCTTGAGATCTGATTTGTGGATCAGGAACCTGCGGCACAATGACAAAACCCGGCACAAATTTCTTGAGTGCAGTTACATATTACATAAATTTCGTAGTTGTTTTTTCGAACTTTTGGTGACAGGCTGACGCTGAAATTTTTATTACTTACGATTACAAATTTTAAATAAATGACAACAAATATAAAGTGAATTTTGCTCAAAATTTTTACTAGTTAATTACTGCAGTCAGGCATATTGCCAAAAATGGTGACTTTTGAAGTCTGGTACCTTTCGGTTTTCTGATTTTTAATTAATATTATTGGTTAGGGTTAGACATAGGCTAGAAGGTTAATAGATATATAGTAAAATCGTATTTCTGACACTTTTACTTAGTGCATCAAGACCAATTTAGATAGGCATTTTGTCGGGTTGTTCAGAATAATGCAGTACATATGTCGGGTAATTTTGTAAGGTGCCAGGCTTTAAACGACCCCAAAAATAGAAATCGTTTCTAGATCATCTGATTGGCTGCTTTTCACTAAATTCGGTTACATTTTGTGGCTTTCGCAATAGTTAACCATATCAAATATTTTTAGACATAAAGTGATCAACATTTTATTTCAAAACCAACTTGGTTTCTGATTCATGTAACCGAAACAAAAAGAATCGCTTGATCCGCATTCTATACCATAAAAAGGCGATTTTTGGTAATGTTTCCAACTGCATTGATGCTAAAAATAAAAAAACTATTGGTCCCGTATTATCCAAATTTCAAAGATTTACGAATTTTATAAAGTATTGTGAGCCCGATTTTGGGGTCACGAGTAATGATGTTGTGAAATGATTTCACCATTTCACCAATCACCAATCGGTATTGGTGAATTGGTAAAACGGTGATACGAAAGTAGAAATGAATAGGTATAGACGCATAAATGGAAATAAGAATATTAATAATCGTATAAATAGTTATAGAGAATAAAAGTAGTCAAATATTAATCATTGTTGCAGATCATAATGAAATCAGATCATTATGAAATTTAAAGGTCTCAATTTAAGCATATAAGTCCTATCAAAATCCACCTATACTCTTTTCCTAATAATTCTAACCCCAAATCCTAACTTAACTATAAAAAAAACCTAACAAAAAAAGGCCCCAAAAATTTTTAAAAATCGTATATAAAATAAGTTAAATTTCATTATGATCTGATTTCATTATGATCTGTCACAATCATTAATAAATAAACGTTTCATCATTTTATCAATTTCACCATTACGCTATTTCATCAACTTCATTATTTTACTATTTTATTATTTTACCATTTCACCAATTTCATCAATTTCATCAATTTTACCAATTTCACCATTTCACCAAATTTTTATTTTGGTGCAATTTTGGTGAAACTATTTCACCATTTCACCTGTGAAATAGTTTAATTTCACCAGCATCTATAGTCACGAGTGCCCGAATTGGAGCGACGATCCCTACCCGATCCAAAGTCACGCGAAAAGTAACAGAAATGTTACTTTTTTACTTTCGTTACTTCTGCTACTTCGACTACATATCCGTTAAATGGAATATCGGCCTTTTATTAGATTTAGTTAAGATATAGAGTATAAGTAATATATTACAGTTATGAAAGAAATTAATTGCAAATGTAAATAGAACGTTTATTATAAATAAAGGGCATTTTTGCATGGAGAACAATAATATCGTCCCTTATAACAACATTAGCTTCCCTTATAACAATAAATATCTGACCAATAACAAAGTACAAGTTCTATAAAAAATTGGTATATATTGTTAATCCCATTACTAGCACAATCGTTCGCCCATAAATCACTAAACTCGCAATTGATCGCTCGCCATAAGTCACATGACCAAGAATGCCGTTAACGTAATAGAAGAGTTCCAACCCTGATTCGACGTAGAGTAATCCCGGGTTGAGGCAGACAAGAGAAGGCAAAGTTAGTGCAAGAAGAGATTGAAGGAAAGACTCAAAGCAGAGACCAGTACTTACCTACGGACAAACCCACCAGCCAAATCTAACACGCCTAGTGATGTGCCATTTAGATGATACACAAATTTTTTTTCGCGTACAGTACGTACAGTGCGTATCTAGCGATTTGATTGGCTCGTAGAAAGGATCGGTAAAAATTTTCGCGTACAGTACGTACAGTACGTACAGTACGTATAGTACTGTACGCGGCACATCACTAAACACGCCGATAAAATAATTCATTAAACCCAAAACCTTCTTTCTATACTTGCTAGCTTATTCTAGTATAGAATTTCTACTCTTCTAAATTAAATACGAGGTATATAAACAAAAAAACTTATTTATCTGAATATCATTAATTCAGTAAGTCTTTTAAAATAATCATGAGCGACAGCTAACACACCAAGTAACCTATTATTTGCAGCATGTGTTTGTGGCATAGACAAAATTCTTGCACGTCTTGAAAGTGTACCAGGCTTATGGCGCATATTTACTGAATTACGATTCAGATTTCAAGATTAAGTAGAACTTAACAGACCAAGAAAATTCAAAACAAAACTTCATTTATCAAAAATTACTTATTTCTCAAAAAATCAACCTTTAGTGCTCTAAAAAAGGGTTCATTGCACAATTGCACTGTATAAAATATTCCCTTCTAATTCCTAAACCTGACCCTAACCCTAACATAAACAAGCTTTAAAGAATTTTTGCTGCACCACGAATCTGGCACACATACAAGGCAAAATTCATTGCTATAAAGACTAATATTCGTATTTAACAAGATGATGAATCATTTGAAAAAATCTTTTTATTGGGTAAATTTTGACTAAGTAAAACTTTGACAAAACGGACATTTGCTTTGAATCTTTCTGATCATGTCACGTTATATATGATCCTAAAAATTTATTTGTCCTTCGGGGATCATCGCCACCATACAACACATGCCCAATAGTGCAATAACCTATATATTTACTTAATGTAATACCGATACTCTTCACGTCTTCCATTTCTGGTTTTGCGTGACAACGTCGCGCAGCTATATTATTTTTTATACCAAAAATCTCGTGTAACATTTGTGCTCTACGCACTTTATTTACAAAATCAGATCTCCTTTTTTGGGTTGTGTTACTCGCTCAAATAAGTAAAATGGTTATATGAGTGACGAAAAGGAAAACCTAAATTCCACTCATTAATAAAATGATTTACAGGTTTTCTCTTTTCGTCCTCACATGTAACGATACAAATAGAGACTGTTTGGTTTATTATACTGATTTTGGTTTATATGCAATTGGAGAATACTATTTTTATGGCTTTTAAAAAAATTTTAAATTATATAGGCTTCCAATTCTGAATTCTAATTGATACCTATAACATATTGATAACATAACATGCTAAAATTCAAAAGACGTTGGCACAATAGAAAATGTGTACGTTGTAATGAATATAATTTCACTTTTAAAGCCTGGTGTCGATCATGTGACGCTCAAAGATGGACAAGTGAAAATAAATTTATTGATGATTGCCTTAAAGAATTTCAACTTAAATCTGCAGAATATGAGAATATAATTGAGTGGATTTCTTTTGATAAATTAGATAATATTCAAAAGAGTGGGGATGAATTTTTAGCAACCTGGCTGGATGGCATACGAACAATCGCTAAAGATAAGGATAAATACATACAATCACGTACATCACCATGTGTAATTAACCTTAAAATATTACATAGATATCAAAGTTCTCCAAATGTAATGGATCTGTTAGAAGAGGTAAGATATAAGATAAATTCTATGTTTAGGATTTTTGCTAGAAAAATGAACCTCTGAGGCTGTTATTTTGTGTGAATAAAAATTAAATTCGTGAGTCCTCTAGTTATCCAATTTGAATGAAACTTTTGATTTTTATAGAGCTAAATAAATTTTACAAAATAAACAAGTTCTTTCAAATTGAAAATTATATGGCTTGCAAATTCAATTTTTATTCACAAAATCAACATTGCCTCGGAGGGTCATTTTTCTAGAAAGATCCCATTTGTTTTATTATTATGCGTACCTTTCTTTATTTTTATATGCTTATAAAAACTTATAAATTATGTTTACTCATTTAAAAGTTCATGAACTATATAAAAGACAACAAGATTAAAGTATATGGGCTAACTCAAAACACAGCTACTGATGAGTATATATTGGTGTTTGATAAATTTCATTCTAAAAAAAATCTTTGGAATGGGACATGTGAGCGTTGTAATGGATATAATAACACTTCTAAAGCCGGGTGTCGATCATGTGACGCTCAAAGAGCAATTCTAGGATGGACAAGTGGAAATAAATTTATTGATGATTGCCTTAAAGAATTTCAACTTAAATCTGCAGAATATGAGAATGTGATTGAGTGGATTTCTTTTGATAAATTAGATAATATTCAAAAGAGTGGGGATGAATTTTTAGCAACCTGGCCGGATGGCATACGAACAATCACTAAAGATAAGGATAAATTCATACAATCACGTACATCACCATGTGTAATTAACCTTAAAATATTACATAGATATCAAAGTTCTCCAAATGTAATGGATCTGTTAGAAGAGGTAAGATATAAGATAAATTCTATATTTGGGATCTTTGCTAGAAAAATGAACCTCCGAGGTTGTTATTTTGTGTGAATAAAAATTAATTCGTTAGTCATCTAGTTATCCAATTTGAATGAAACTTTTTATTTTTATAGAACTAAATAAATTTTACAAAATAAAAAAGCTCTTTCAAATTGGAAAATCATATG